CTCCGATAACGTATCGGACTCGCGACTCTGTCGCTGATTTTATTTTAGTGTAATAACATGTTGCGCGGAAGTTTCGGAAGTAAGGAGTATCGTGCGAAAGAAACTTCGATGAAACAAAGTCGAGTTTGATATATCGCGTTGACGTTTTCAGCTGAGTACAACCTGCCTGAATCATTTCTTGTAAGAAGTGGTGGTCATCGCTAATTAATTTTGTGCTCGTTTTCGTCGAGTAAATTTAACTGAATTGAGTTTTAAATTGGATAAAACCTGATAAATAATATTATATAGCGAAATTATATCATACGCTAGAATTATGTACGTAAACATTTATAGACCAGCACAATAATTATTAAGTACTAATATCCAATTAAATCGGAAAAATGTCTGTCTTACATTTCTTAGATGACGTAATGTTATACGAATGATACAGATTTTCATATCTGTTTGCTGGGCGGGGTGAGAGTGTGATTGCGTCATGACCTTCTTCAGCGATCAAGAGCTTTTATTAGAACCTTGGATTACACTCGTGTTTTTTTTTTTTTTTTCTACACACGCTGTCATCTACAATATGTTCAATGATGCAACTTATGTATATTAATCTACTAGAATGGCGGTACTTACAGCTGCGACCTACGGCGTAAAGCGCGCGAGGGATTCCTTTCTCTTCGCTAATTCGGCTCGTATATCCATCCGGCTCATCTCGATCGGTCTAAATCGAGCAACGAAACCGATAATTGCACTGTGTATATCATCCCCACTGTAAACGTCTATCGATTCTAAACTACGCTACTCGATGTGCCGGGAGTGATTAACGTCGCGATGGAATCCTCATCGAAATCGCAATAAATTACTGCTTAATAAGTTGATGTAGCGCACATCGAGCTCGTTTCTGAGACGCATTACATGTCATATTAGAAATGCATGATTCAAATTCTGGATCTTCGATTAAATCAATTCATATGTATTTACGTCAAATTTTCTTGATTAATAATACTAAATTTTACACAAAAAAGGTTGACACAGAACAATAAAATTTATTAAAAGTAATTAATATCTAATAATCAGTTTTCATAAGTTTCTGATAAATAAAAATAATAATTAACTGTATTAATAATTACTTTTTATTATTAAAAGCTTGATACGGTGACTATTTTATAAGAAACAATTAGCTAATTATGTGATAAATACAACGTATGTCTTTTAGCTTTATTTATGTAGAAGAGAATATTTAAAAAAAACTGAAAGTGTCATCTGCAAATTTATCACCTTGTGATTGAATTTTAGAAAAAATACAAAACTAATTTCGGAAATATAAATCACGCATCTCCATATTGTATTGAAGTCATGGTTGTTCTTATTTATTTTTTCATTTTCTATACGTGCGTGTTATACTGAACCTCTCGCAAATTTTGCTAGAAAATTACGGCAATCGGAGACTAGATTAACGAATCCGCTTGAAAACCATCGGATTCGTAAATGTCGATGTCACTCTCTTTCTCGCTCCATGCGAAGACGATAGTGTCTTCGGCATACATTATTCTAGCGTCGTTCTATATTCACAACGAGTACTCGCAAGCTCATTGCCAAGCTTCTCGATTCGATCGATCTGTTCGCCCGCTTACGACGCCGTAAAAGGACGAAACGCGCAAACATCCTGTTAAAACGAATCGCTGTCCAACCAGTAAAGATCCATTACCGGACGTGACAAAAAGCCGCCACTTGACGACGCGATAAAATCGATCGCCCGTCGTTTTCTAACCGGTATCACAAATACGTGAGACGAAATATTTCCTAATATTTTACTAGTGACGAATCCACATTTCGCGCGGAGAAGGGCCTTACGACTACAAAGTTGGGTCCGATTTCAGCGAATGTCGCGAACGTGAAGCGAATTATAAATCAGAGAGAATTCCGACGCGACACCGCGTTTCAACACGCGTTCTAAAAAACGCTTTCTAAAAAAAAAAATCAAGAAAATATTAAATTTTAAAGTAAGTTTAAATTAGTATCGACTGAAAATTCAATTTACACAAATCAATTATGCTGTGATGCGTTAATATGAGTCTAGTCTTTAATTTAATTAATCTAATTTCAGCTTTAAAATTCCTCAAGTCCTTGAGAAGGCATTAGATCATTTTTGCGCCTCGATCCTTAAGTTCGAGGATATGGAGATCGACGAGAGTGTGCTTTAAGGCAACGGATGTGTCGCAAGCTTACGGAACGGTTCGGGTTAAATGTGTCCTCCTCTTCGTACGCCGCTGCTCCTGCGTGTCGATTAATTCAGCCAGCCAGCTCGATTAATTGGTCGGCGCGGACGGACTGTGGACTTGGCCGTAAAATATACCGCGTGGAGGACGGCAAGCCGAGCAATCGGAGCCCGCCCTTTCCGCGGCCGGCTCGTTCCCTGCAATAATTATCACCCATTAATTAGCCATAGCCTCGTCGGCCCGCTGAACGTCAATGGGTGTGTTATATAAGCTCAACCCTCTGTAGGCACGCCACTGTTTCTCTTTAAAAGAAGTGTAACAAGGTCTCCGTTAAAGATACATAAATAAATCAGTAGTAAAAGCCTGGGCTGGTCCGACGGGGACTATAAGGTATGTCTTATCTAATCAGACGTGATATATCTGATATCACTTAGGAATTGAAGAAATTAAACTTAAAATATAAATATATGCTTTCAAACATCTAAATTTTATTGATAGGAATTTCATTTTTGAAAATAAGAATAAAAAAAGCGGAAAAAAATGAAAAAATGCCTAGGTTATTAATGGCGAAATAATACTTTGAATTAAATTTGTTTGACTAATTTAATTTTAAATTGTATAAAGTTATCTTTTCTTATCAACAAATATCGATAAAAAAAGGAGATGTATTCAAAATGTACAAAAGACCGATTCATTGACCGATTAGCCTCATTCGTCTAATTTGTGCAAACGTTATGCCGTTCAATGAGACGAGAGGGTGGGTTTGTTTCGCATGGCGGGCTTAAAAAGCCGCTCTGAAAAGATCGTGCGGTCGTGCAGGGAAGGAAAAGAAGAAGATCGAAAAGTGCGGGCTTTTTCCGACGGCTGTACGTTAGTCAAAGTGCCTGCGTTCACCGCCAATGATCCTGTATTCGTATTCATCGCGTCGATGCGGCACCTATCTCGTTATTTTCGGCTTACGCCCGCGCTGAATGGGCCCATCGATATACTCCGAGCGATATATACGTGTATATAAATACAAGTGTACATAAAAGTGTGTATATATACTGTCTCGTCTGAAACGCATGCCGCACTTGCAAACATGCTCCCTGTGCTTACATATTGTATCATCACATTGCGCTTGTCGAGTATCGTCGAAGAGAATATTTTCACAAAGTAAAAGAGCGATGTCAAACTTTATGAAAGGAAGAAGACGAATTTAAATTTTAATTTAATTTACAATTTGTCTACGAATCGATAAAATTTTAATCTCTCAATTTTAATTCTTCAATTATATAATGCATATAATTCATTATGATTTATTAATTATGAGCCTAAAAAAATATGTAAAACCAGTTACTTTCCGAAGAAACGTTTGATAACGATTACTTGTGACGCAGCATTTTATAATTAGTTAATATCAAAATTTGCTTGAATCCTAATTCATCTTGTCTGCAACATCTCTCGTTGTTGGTTGTTTACGATGCAAAAGCTGTTTACGATCTCCATTAATCCGAAGGAAACGCACATCGTCGTGCGATACCGTGATGCATCCGTTATCGGCTTTCGAATCGCGGGCGTCGCGACGCCGGCGGAACTCGACGTCGGCAGCGGGCGCCGTAGGGTACGCGCAAGCGTCGACGCAAATCACGCCCCTTGGCCGGCCGAAGGGCCACCCGCACTCCATTTCCGCGTTATTACAGCCTGAAAGATCCACCCCCGCGTCTGAATATCAAGGCAACCCTCCGCGCGTTTCCACTTAACACTCCGGTCGCGACTAATTACTCTAATTAATTGGAACTCCGATCTTCTCGCCGAGAGCCGCTTGATTCATGGTAGTTACTAATTAATTACTAATATCAATGGGGAGGGCCGCGCTGTACAGCGTAAGCGAAACGCTTTAAATCCGCGCTGCGAGCCCTCGGCTATTCATGCGAAAATAACGTGTAATCGTAGCACGAGAGGCTCGCTCGTGAAAATGCGCGAGAGACGATTTTCCGCGACATTGACTGCGAGGCCCGGCGCGGATTCTGAATTATATCGCGGAAAAGCGCATTTCAAGCGACGTTAATTGGAAATGCCATCTCTGGTGGAAATTTCAGGAATTATCCCGTATCTGTACATTTTCGAATCCGTGACGTGATTTCAATTTATCACGGTAATTTATAACGCGCCGATATTCGTTATTATTATAAAATCCTATATTTTTATCGTTTTACGTTATTGAAATATTTTCGAAGGTTATATATCCCCGTCCAATTAATTAGCGCGCGAACAATATGACTTAAAACCGCATATCATCTTTGTAAATTATAAATATTTTTTAATCAGCATTTAGGTAATTAATTTAGTTTTTATCATATAAATATTTTATTGTATAATATCAGACGATCGCAGTGTCTCGGTACTTTGATTTATCATAAGGGTTGCTCTCAAAAGCTTTAAGAGCTAATTAGTAGGGCAACTCTCTTGCTCACCCTTCAAAACATTGAGATGTCGATAGTAAGCACTGCCGTGCCAGCTCTCGGGACTTCTCGCCGGCGTCAATTCCGTCTTCACATCGCGCAGAGCCGCAGCTTCCTCGGCGATCTTTTCAGCCTCCCGCTCCTGGCGACATAATTTTGATATAATTAACTTTTGACAAGTAAAATATAATACTAATATTAATTATACATGTTTACATGTTTCTCTCGGAAAATTTGAAATAAATGAGTTACATTTTATATAATAATCAATTTTACATTTTATATATAATAAAGAAATGAGATAATCGATCGAATTAGGCCTCGTACATTTCTTTATTATTTAGAGCGAACGAGAAGACAGAATATATCTTAATATATTTCTCATTAAACACGGCATTAACGAGTAGTACAGTAATTATAATGACGTGATAATAATTTGCTAGTTTAAGGATATGTATTTTTCCGCCGTCTCTTTATTTTGACGAGAGCTCTAATGCCCGTAACGTCACAATCGTGATGACGCCTCGCAATGTAAGCCTTCGGCCGACAGGCAATGTATTTTTCATCTGACATTAAGGAGTTCGCTTCGACGTTTGGTCAGCCATGAGCGAGCCCGCGAGTAATAATAATAATATCGTCGCGGAAGTGAGCGTCTGAAAACAGGAATCGTCATTTTCGTGGAGACAGGTGGACGAGCTGGGCGAGCACAAGAGGGGACGAAAACGGGTCGGCAAACAGCCGCGATATGTCGCGACTCCTTGACGTAATGACAGCCGTGGAAATGGATGACGATCCACTCATCCTGATCAACCACTCAGGTATGCAACGATGGCTCGCGGGAACGGCATGGGGGGCACTTCCACGCCCCCCCCCCCGTTCTCCACGGCGATCTACAATCTAAACGCGCGACTCGCCCAAAGCGGGACGCGCACGGTGCTTTATTTAATGCTTCCGTCGATAGCGATCGTCGAATTACTTAAATTAATTCCGCCGCCGCGCGCGCCGTCGGTGCGGATCGATCGAGGTGAATTATTCACTCGGCTCGGCCAGGGACGAAACGAGCAGTTACTCCACCGCTCCGCGCCGTGCCGCGCCGCGTTCGCCTGCCTCGCCGATTAAAAAGTCACGGAAACGCGCGTTTACCGTAATGTCCATGGAAGGGAGTTTACCGGCCCCGCGGGAGCCTCTCGGAAAACGACTTCACCCGTTATACGCGCGATATTTTGCGTCACGACGAATGCCTTGGGATTTTCTGACTATTTAATAGCTTCCTTACGGTTAGCTATTGAAATTCCAAGATTTTTCTCCCGAATATTTTTATCTCGCGTCGCAAAGGTCAAGGTAAAGAATTAGGGGGTGCTTCTGCGAAATTATTATTTCGTGCATTTGCGACCAATGCACATGATTAATTTTATAAGTTTTTTTTTGTAGTTATGTTTTCCTACTACTTTTTTATGTTTGAGAATTACTTTTTAACATTAATTTATGTTGAAAGGAAATTAATGTTAACAATATGTGGATAATCTTAAATATTCAACTAACTAATATTTCATGGTTGAAGTATTTCTATCACAGTAGTCTTTCTAAGACATTAAATTAACGTGCATTAAAAATATGAGAATTTATCTAAATTTGTTGTGTATTAAAAATATAATATCATATATATATATATATATATATA